GGCCCTGTCAAACTTACCTATTATAATAAATAATTCACCCAGTCGAGACCACCCTGTTGATTCTGGAAAGGTTTCAGCCCGTATTTTTTGGGTGAGAGCCTGAAGCTGCTGATCGTTATCATCGGTCAATGTGAGCTCGACCTGCCAGAGTTGATGATTGTCATCGATTTGTTTTATGTTACAAATCCGGAAAATCGTGTGCATTGAGAACAGAATCTCTTGCTCTTTGTCGTCAAAGCAGCTGACATTGGTCAAACGAGCAAAAGGAGCAGTTGTAATAGACAGATTGATCGTCATCTTGAAGAGGATGCCGACCGAATCAACACTGCTGCCATTGCTCTCAGCAAAGGCAAAAGCGACGTCTCGGTCTTCACTAGTCGACAAGAAGTTGTTGAATGACATCAGTCCACTTTTTGTTCTTATCAGTTTTTCGAAATCTATCTTCGTCAAACCCTGGCCTCGATAGACGATTAATGACAGTTCCTGGTGATTACTGAATTGTTCCGAATGCAGTTGGTTGATATGTCGATGGAGATCTCGGATGAAGAAGCCCATCTTGGTGATGGTGTCGACTTCTTGAGTGCGAAGAGCCCGGTTGAGCATGGGATAGAGGAAACATTCACACGTATACCACCAGATAGGCGACTTTTGATAGTAGTGTCGTTCAAACTCGATAATTTTGTTCAATTCAAAATCATTGCCGGCATACTGCTCACAACAATATGTGGTAAAATCTTTTACAGATTGTTCATCATGGTCCATACCGAATAAAATCTCTTTAAGTAAGTGGGTATACATAAATGACTGGTCTAGTTGGTTCAAGTTTTGATTTAATGATTCCTCGCTGGCCTCAACAAAACTCATCGTGATATAATCTTGTTCACATTTTCGGGTAGCTTGCTTTAGTGAATTGCAAATGGGAGCGATTTCTGTGAAAGTACCCTTCACTTTCGACCAGTCTCTCGTCCAGTTTTCGTGCCATGACTTGTTGTCACATAAGATATATATGCAATCCAGTTGATACATATGATGAATGCTAGGGACTGTATGTTGTCCCAAAGCACTCGACACAATCATAAATACCTTCTCGTCGTTGATTTGACTGAGATAATCTATGCATTCATAAGCATCCGTGAATATATTAACAGTATTAACAACGCGCCGTAGGTGCTTAACTGCATTGCGAATATCATCGTTTGATTCATTGTTGTTTTTGTCCAGCCAGATAAGGAGGAAATTTTGGATGCTACGGCGTCGCCCTGCAATGTTTTTCTCCAGTCGTGTAGCTGAAAAAGTATATGATGTTTCAGTTTCAGCTTTGGAAGAAATGGATGTACACTCGGTTGCCTGTTTACTAATGCAACAGCTAGCTGTTGTTGGTTTCTCGTTATCCATACTGTATATAAGAATGCAAACCGTCGAGTTTAGCTAGTGGATCTTGAATGCTGCTCGACGAAGAGAAAGAGTTCTCTATTGTTATTTATAGCTTTTTTTGCGCACTCCTCGCATCTCGCTCCCTTTCCTTTTCTTCTTATCTTCATGGCATTACTTTTTTGTCTTGGGTGGGTGTGGATGGGGTGGGTGTGGGTGGGTGGGTGTGGGCGAGTGGGTGTGGGCGGGTGGGTGTGAGTGTAGATAGAATGGAGACTCACACCCACACCCACACCCACACCCACACCCACACCCACACCCACACCCACACCCACACCCACACCCACACCCACACCCACACCCAACCATTGCTTTCTGCGGGAACTTCCGTTTCTGTTTGACACCACCTTTTTAGTCAGCCTCTTCATGATTTACTGCCCATATTTGATCGTTTTGAGCATTGTAGATGGCATCAAGATCGAACATTTTCTCATCTGAGAAGAGAATTTTCAAGGTGTCTTCTTTACAGAAGTTATGCCGCACTCAATTTGCAAATGTCATTGTTTTACTCTTTTCGAGATCTGTCAGAGCTGGTTCAACTCTTTTTTTTGTATGAACGATATCCTAGATCTTATTTCAAGTTTCTGACAACAGATCCTTTGGAGATATTCAGCTCACTGGCAAGTTTTATAATTGACACTTTTTTACGTTTCATTCGATTTTTCACCTTTTGGACGATCTCTTTGGTTCTGATAATGCGTGGACGACCCGGTGAGTGCGATAAGTTGATAGAATCTGCCCGTCTCACCATTGCACACCAGCGCCGAATAGTTCGAGAACTTACAGCACCGATCAAGTCTTCAAAGATTTTGGCTGGAGGTTCACCTTTTTGACATTTGGAAAGTACTAGTTTCTGGAGATCTTCACTTTTCATCTTGAAAAATTTTATTTTGTAATTTCTTTTGAAAAGTAAACCCGTCGTTTTATAGAGGGACAGAAAAAGAATGAAAAAAGCAAAGCAGAGAGGTCGACAAAGCAAACGATGATCAGGAAAATGGTGATACAACGAGTGGCCATTCTTTTTGGAACACCCGTTATATGTTGCATTTGTTTTGTCTACCTCAATTTCTCCCTTTGCATGCGATGTGAAAAGAACTGTCCAATAGAAAAAACGTCTAAAACAAACAAGAAAACATCAACCTTTTTAAAAGTCTGATCTACATTTATTTTAGCTGTGTGAAAGTGGGCGGTATTCAACGATCCCGAACAAATCGAAACATGAAATGGAGGTGGATGACGTTGACGGTCAAACAAGAGAGAATAGCCACATCTCACCAAGTGCTGTCATTCCGTCATCATCGACTTCAATGACTGAAAATTTGAAAGCAAAACTGTTGACGGTGATTCGCACTCTGTCTACCCTCGATTCCCTTTCTCTTTCTCTTTCTCTCTCGCTTCTTCTTTCTACTGTATCGATATTGTTATTGTTGTTTCTCCTTCTTTTTCTCTTGTTCTTCTTCTCCTCTCGATAGATATATATACCTAGTGATTTAAGGACATTTTTGAAGAGATTTAACATATGAAAGAAATAAAATAAGTAGAGCTCGTTGAAACGAACTAACAAAAATCAAATTACAAGAGATCTTCATCTGATGGAGAAAAGACTATTTCTTCAAGTACCAAGAAATCACGAAAATAAGCGGAAATTGTCATGAGAAACTGTTGATTTAATCATTTATTCTTATTTATTTTCATATTTCTATTTTATTGTATCTCTTTATGATGATCATTGATGTCTAGAGTATCCTGAAATCATAGGACTGCCTATAAAATTGTATTAAAATATTTCATTATCAGAAACTTATCTTACTCCACTGGTAGTTTCTAGTTTATATAAATAAGATAGTGTACTATGTTTTGCTACATTGTGCTGTCTCTACAAATCGTTCTATAGACAGTAATATAATACGTATAAAAGTCTGAAAAGTGCTGTTACAAAATTATAGGACCTAGTGTAAAAACATACTATTTTTTACACCACTATCTTTTCCTGAAACAGTTAAGTGGGATTTTGTAGTCAATAATCTGATACATTTCGACCAAGGGAAAACGAAACGAAACATCGATTCTTCTTCTACGGATGCAGACCTAGTTTACTTCCGGACGTCGTGGAGAGAATAGCGGTTAGTATCCCTATCGAAAAGCTTTCAGCGCAATCCTTGCGGGATTAAAAATGTGAAACACGATGGAGCTTTTTATATTGTAAATGAAGGAATTTAGTAATGTATGTCTAAATTTTCCATTACTATGCACTGCTACAGAGAGTGTGAGGAGGAGAGACCAGAGAACTTTCTTAAAATATATCGTTTTTTACAAGAAAAGCAAAATGAAACTTGGCTGAAAGTTTAATGAAAGTGGTAGCGTTTATAATTGTTCATTTTTCGATGAGAAAATATCTTGTTTTAATATTTTTCATTGCTACAAATAATCCATTTTATACCATTTCTGTCAATTAACTAATATTTCCACGTATTCTCATTAGTTAATAACAAGCAGTAGACTTTACTTGTGATGATGCCTCTGTAGCAGTCTGTAATGGTCCCGTAGTGATGTCTGCCACGGTCTGTGACGCACGGTCAGCGTTGCTAAGGACGTCTGTCACAGTCTGTGACGCCTCGTTACTAAGATGTCTATGACAAGCGGTTGCTACGGTGTCTGTCACGTCTGTGACGTGTCGTTGCTATTCATGGCATAAAAGTATCTTATGTATAGGTACATTGTCAGTAGGGTGTTGAAGAGATCGAACGGCAATGCGATTTAAGAAAATGTTCGTTTGCTGTTTCGTTCCTCTACAATTTATTCTCGTCTTTTTTTTGCGCTAGTTGCAGCCCATAATATCCAGTTTCTATGGTCTAAAGCTTGTCGTATAATAACGAGATTTCATCGATTGGCGAGCTGTGCCGTAATGAACTCTTCCAATGACTTTATCTTCGCTCTACATTGGGCTATTGCTCTGAAAATTCTACCACAAACTTAGGGGCTCATGAGAACGTATTGCTGAAATTTTCAACTGAATTGCTTGAGTTGAACTTGAGCTATTGACGCCAGACTGGAAACTATAGCTAACTACTTGGTGGAAGTTTTCAATGTGAACTTCAGATCTCCGTTATTCCCAAGTAATTTCTTACCAAATTTTGATCATAGATAGCTACACCAGTGGGCTTACAAATGAGGGGTTGCGTGAACATAAAGATCAAAAAATGACCGAGATATGACTTAGACAATCTGATGATATTGTTGGCCTGATAACTCTAATCTATATCACCCGATTAAGACCGGATTGGTGCTTGCGATCAGGGTTCACTAAGATCAATCTAGATCCAAAATATCAGCCCCATGTCATGAGAAATAAGACCAATGCAGGGGGAGGCGGGTACTTTTGTCCAGGACTGTTAATGATCAACATTGATAACCAAGGAAAATTCAAAAGACATGAATTTATAGTGTGTAGGTTAAAATATTATGAATATTATGTAGACATTTCTGAGAATGCAAAGTAGTAATATATAAGAATATATTGATATCCAATTAAAGTACATTTTGTACTTAAAGTATTGGTACTTCAGTAGATGAGTACAAATTTTGGCACTTCAGTAAAATCTTTCAATACAAGTAAATTTACTGATACTATTAGAATGTACTCAAGTAATCGGGAATACTCAGTAAAAGTATAAAAAATACTCAGTATCTTACTGGGTATCCAATCACTGATGATGATATTATTTCTGAAACTCAATCTAATGAAATTAATTCTTCAATCGAACAAGAACATAATCTTGATGATATACGTGAAAAAACTTTGGAATATAATCGACAACAAGTAAAAGGAATTCAATTAGCTAATGCAGGTGCAAATAATTTAAAAATCATAAATAGTTATTCAGTGACATCAAGTACATGCATCATTATATGATATTGTTTTTTTAAATTAACAAGAAAAATATTAATCGCATTTTGTGAAATATGATCTAAAGGGAGTGTTGAAGTGTGGGTGTGGCTGTGAGTGCGACGAAGAGAAGAGCACCCACACCTTGACTTTCATCGTTAATGAGTGCCATCAAATCAAAGTTCGTTGATGATAGGATTTAGAAATAGAATTGATAGCTCAAAAGATGACAACGAGGTATAGAATTATAGAAGTTCAAAGAATTTGAAGAAAACACAACTGGCACAACGTTATCCTGGTAGATGTAGCTGTAAATAGAAATACTTAGATAAAGATCAATATATTCAATGGATTTTATAAATGTAATCAATAATCAATATACCGATCGTTAACTTTTTAATGGTACGAAGTCAGGGATATGAATATAGCAGATTTTTTAACGAATAGTAAGCGCTAATCGAACACAAGGTTCGTTGTAGCTTTTGAAAATTTCTTTTTTCCTCTTTTAAAGCCGCAAATCTTAATATGTTCTTGTTCGAGTTACTTGTAACACTTTTTTCTTTCCTATTTCTGGCGCCAACTATCGCTTGCGTGCATATGTGAGTTACTTTGCGCTTTCTATCTCGATCATAGTCTTTTTTATGTATTTTTATTTCTAACACATTGGTGATAACGTACGATTCTAAGACAGTGTTTTTTTCTCCTCCTTTTCATCCTTGAAAGATACACACAGAACGAGCAAATCGTCGTTTTTGATATTTTTTCTTAGTTGTGTAATAACAACAGTATAACTACCATCCACAAACAAAATCATTACCAACATACAAAGTCAGTTCGTATTTTCGCATTCGAATAACATTGAAAACTTTTCTTCTACATCATAGATTATCATGTCCAATCAATCAAAAAAAGCAAACGCTTTATTGGATCGTTCAGACAAAGTCTCTAGTCCTCTATCTCGCTTGGTCTTCTCATTTCTTCGTGCCGTTGATCCATATTTACAATATCTCTTACTTTTCAAGGGATACGGCCATCAAATTCTCTCCAAAGCTGGTATCGTCACTGTTCCAGTTGGATCTAAAGGCACAGTTCTGGTTGCTTTGATAGCAGCCGGTGCCATGAAACAGATTATTAACATAACCTACATTATGGAAGTAAGAATACCTTACTCTAGTGTGATACTCATAAGTATCGGCGAAACAGTGCTCAGTTCTCTTCCTTCCTTATCATCTTTAATCTATAGTCCATCAAACAAATTAGGCAGTTTGCAGTATGTTGGTATTTCTATGTTTACTATAGGCGTTTTTATCGAATTGGTTTCGGAACTCCAGCGTAAAAAATTCAAAGATAATCCAACAAATCAAGGCAAACTCTATACCGGTGGTCTATTTTCTCTTGCACGCCACATTAATTATGGTGGCTACACACTATGGCGCACTGGACTGGCTCTAACAAGTGGAAATTATTGGTTAGCAGCTTTAACCTTCACCTTGCATATGTGGGATTTTACGAAAAGAGGTGTGCCTGAATTAGAGGATTATTGCAGTCAGAGATACAGCGAAGACTGGAAGAAGTACGAACGTGATGTTCCAAATATTTTGTTTCCTTATGTTTGGTAACACATTGAACTGATATATTTATTATACGTTTTGCTTATCAAGCTTGAATTTTTTCTGTTTGTAACCACTCCATGTTCTTATTGTAGAGTTGAATAATAAAGTGTAACAAAAAAAAGATAGCATTTTATGTAAAACTATAACCAAATAAATATATGAGAAATATATAGTTTTCTGTGAATCTATTTTTCTTGTAGAGAAACTTTTGCATCCAGTAATTTGCAAAATCAATAGAGCTTGAATAATGTTATTCTAAGTCATACCAAGAACTGCAGTGATACTCAAATCTAAAACAATTATTCATCTAATCTTTCGTGGTATGCTTTCATTATGATCCATTCGTGCAATAACTTGATCTTCGTCCTAGTACTGAAGAAATTTTTTCAACTTGTTCAACTTTTTAATTAATTTGTCTGAAGTCATTAGATGTTAGTCAATCACGTTCTTATATTAAGGAATACTTGTAGTTTTGATGTGGGAAATATTCAGGTTTGGATGTATGGATGTGGTTCTTCTCTACATACACGCTCAGACCTACATTCACACCCTTTCTTTCTTATAAACAAGTTTCTATTGTTTACCAGTGATTGTACATTCTTTTCCAGACTCATCCTTAAAAAACGTACTATAATGATATCAAAGAATGCGAAACCATTGTCAATGATCTAAAAAGTGTCATATATTTTGCTTGTGAGTTCTATCGTTTCCATATTATTAAAACAACCTATTTCTCTCTTTGGAACTGTACGATTTCAAGATTTGTAGTCAATTTGACATTCAATAAAATCGTTATGAAGTATACAATTTCAGTTTGCTTTTGCAAGATATTTTCGATTTTAATTCATAAGTCTACAGTGAGACTAGCGAATTTTTCTAATTTCTACATAGATTAGGTGAGTAGGGAGAATAAGGGTTTATATTTAACCAAAGAACGCTAAAGAAATCCTGTTGTTGCGTTGTTTTCTATCATAAATCGATTAGCTTTTATATAGTATTACTTTTTTTTTCTTTGCTTTTCTCGTTCATTCCTGTTCTTGTTTGATGCCATAGTCCGAATCAAATTATGTCAAAAATGATAGCCGAATTCAGACATAAGAAATTCGGATTTTGTTCTTAAACGAATAAATCCAATGAATCTAAAAACGATACGAAAATAATACTAATATCTGTTCTGCCAAGGTAAAATCTACTGTTGTAGAAGATACGATACGTGTCAGAGATAGTATCATTCAACTTTTACTATTGTGAAACTTTACCAGCAAAAAGCCAAGATTTTGTTGTGTTCATTGAAAATTTTTTTTTGAATTTTTTTCTCACTGGTGAAAGTCAAACGCAAAAGAGAAGAACGGAGATGCATGGAAAGATAAGCATCAATCAGTACTACACAAAAATATCGAGATTTCATATTTGTTTGACCGGATATTAATTCACTTTTTTTGAAACAAGTCCTATGTCGATAGTAATTCTCTAGAGTTAGAAGCACATATACACTTGCTCGATACTCCGGAAGATGTAATTGATGCGTATTTATTGATCAATACCAATATCACTTTAGGGATTTTATACAATGCAATATTTTGACTCAATTGTTGGATGCTGATGGAAGATTCTGAACTCATGAAACTCTTAAAAATGCAATTTCACTGACATACTCCTGAGAACCCATAGGACTCACGAAACTCACAGAATTCAAGCAATTTCAACAGCTGAAACACTCCGAAGAACTTAAGAATTTGTCGAAATTATAGAGCACAGATCTATCCTAACATTTTAAACGAAATTGGCATCATCACGATTTGCTAGTCCCAAATTTTAAACAACTCCATTGGTGTTTTACATCCAGATATGCCACGAGAGATAACAAATATGCAGTACAAACTTTTCCGTGGGTATTCTAAAAAATCATTATCTACATCAAAATATTTTAAAACATATGCTTAATTGAGAGCAAAAGTCAAAGATACCTTTTCTATTTTCAATTTTTCTTTCGAATGATCTATCGAAGATCTTCAAAGGGTGTGAATGTGCACGTATGTTAACAGAAGACTCACACCTACACTCATACCCTGAAAGAGTTCTTCCATAATTCTTAGTATTAGCGTGTATAGAATGTGACAGAATAAAATACAAGGTGTTACTATTAGAAACTTTTTAAAAGAGTTATATAAGTTTTACATTGTATATCTCCGTGAAACTGTAATAATAATTTTTTTTTTGAAAAGAACTATATAGTTAGTTAATTGTTACATTAACAGACCTATTTTTACCGGCTTAAATCTCTATTTGAACCGATCAACTTTTGCCGGTTAAGCGAAAAATTATAATCAGCTCGTTTCAATTTAAAATTATATCAACAATCCTTTATATTACAGTTTGCATGGCATTCTATCGAAAAAGTTTATTTCATTTGAAGACCTACTACCGGACTACTATTAAATCTAATTGCAAATAAAAGCTTATATCTCGATTCTTGATCATCGAAATTCAAATTTGTATTCTTTTTATTATACATTATATGACCATGATCTTGAATATATACTTGTTTGTTATATTTGACAAATCATATTTTTAAATTGCTATGTAAATGCTTTTTTTATAATGATATGTCTTTTTTTAATCATTTTATTGTTTAGTTGGTTGCTGTTCATTATTTTCATAACACTTTCGATGAAAGTGATAACTCATGTGAAAGAAAATAATCTTAGAATGAGCTGTCGATTATCCTTCATCAGATTATTATTTGAAAACGAATAATTCATCTGGTTTACTTCTTTTTTATTTAAAATCTCTCATTAATATATAGATGAATTAACAAAGAAAGATTTGTTGAAAGATAAAGTCTTAATACATACTCAGCATCAGCATGTTCGTTTTGATACAACCACAAATACTAACTAAAACAAGTAGACAAATTGTAATACCTCCTTCAACAATACATGAAACTATCGCAATTGCTAATGGAGATATGAATCTTTTACGTATCTATTTTACAGAAAAAATTCAAAATAGAATTACTCCTTTTGTTTTTCTGTATGGTTGTATACTTAATTTGAAAAGAAAATATGTTCAACATGATATTTGGTTATTTTTAATAGACAAAATGTTCCTAAATAAAGTTGAAGAATAATAAAAGACTAAATATTTCGACGTGTTGATTTTTAATTGCATATAAATATTTCAGAAGAATCGAATGCAAAATTTTTATTTTATACTCGTAATTCCCTCTACTGAAAGGAGGGTCATACACCGAGTTAGTTTTGTCTG